GGGGGGGGTGGATAGATTTCATAGCGGCATGACGCATCATTCACTGTCCCGAGGTGATTGGTTGTTTGCGTGTGAGCGTGTGGCGGTGGGCCCTCCATCTTGAACATGCGAAGGTTGGCTGATTGCTCTCTCTACCTTCCGACATTCATCGGGGCAAGCCGTTTTATAAAGCCCGAGCTCACAGAGGAAATTCTTATTTACACTTGGACTCGGACAATCCCAGCCATGTGTGATGGCGTTCGGGCGTCTCCGAATTGAATTATCTTGTTTTCGGATTTCTTGTTCCTCTTAACCCTATCGTAGTTTAGGCTTGACTGGCTGGCAGTTAGGATTAAGATTCAAGACAAAGAATTCTGCCAAGCAACAACTGAGAACATGAAACTTCCTTTTGAATGACTCTCTTCTCTTTTGTCTTGGCCTCATTTGGGACATGACAGGCATAGGCCATTTTTAAATGGCTATGACAGAGCACTGTCAATGTTCCGATAAGTGTCAGGAACAAGAAACCTTATTTTTTAGTTTTTTTTTGTTTTTTTTTTTTTTTTTTTTTTTTCGAAGTACAGATACTGGTACTTGTTGTCAAAAAATACATAAATAACACTTAAACGTTGCTTTTTCCTTATGACGTCTTTTTTTTCTTTTTACATCTGAGGCGGTTTGAAGGAAATAACGATCCTATTTTGAAAAGGGAAAAACTACGATGCGCAGATCACTTTTTAACTCAAGAATTTCAAGGTAAAAACTCCTCAGAAAAAGAAATACTCAAGGGAAGGCAAGTCAAATTGATTGATAGCGCACGTTTCATACACAAGGCAACTCAATATGCTTCACACCACCAAAATCACACCACCTAAATAAATGCATTTGCAGTACTAACAGAACAGCTGAAACCATTCCAATATACTCAAGTAATGCTGAAATAGTGGACAGACACCTAAGAAAGATTTCTTAAGGGAGTACAGTGGTGAAGTGTTTGTAGCCTACTTTGCTAATTCCAACCACTGATTTGTCCCAACGGAATGGCGTCATATTTGAAAATGGAACAGTCTTCCAGGTTCCATTTGGATGGCGGGACAAGAGCTGCGCAGTTACATAACATTGAGGAAAAACATGCAAGGTATCTGGATAGGACACAAAGGGAAGGGAAGCAGCTTGATTGGGTGACGTCGCTGGAACGAGACTCCAAATGTCACCCGGAGCGGATGGAATGCTGATTGAATCCGAGTCCCGTTTTTAATTATTTTCCTCAATGTTGCATACTAAGCTGCACGTAACATATTGTAACGTGCCAGTCACTGCGCTCACGGCGGGGGGGGGGGGGGGGGGGGGGATGTTTCTACGGCGTTGAACATGCGAAGGTTGGCTGATTGCTCTCTCTACCTTCCGACATTCATCGGGGCAAGCCGTTTTATAAAGCCCGAGCTCACAGAGGAAATTCTTATTTACACTTGGACTCGGACAATCCCAGCCATGTGTGATGGCGTTCGGGCGTCTCCGAATTGAATTATCTTGTTTTCGGATTTCTTGTTCCTCTTAACCCTATCGTAGTTTAGGCTTGACTGGCTGGCAGTTAGGATTAAGATTCAAGACAAAGAATTCTGCCAAGCAACAACTGAGAACATGAAACTTCCTTTTGAATGACTCTCTTCTCTTTTGTCTTGGCCTCATTTGGGACATGACAGGCATAGGCCATTTTTAAATGGCTATGACAGAGCACTGTCAATGTTCCGATAAGTGTCAGGAACAAGAAACCTTATTTTTTAGTTTTTTTTTGTTTTTTTTTTTTTTTTTTTTTTTACTTCTAAGTTCTTAGTCCTGATAGCCCTCTCTACTGTTCCCAAGGCTTGAAATATATAGATTTTTGTCTTTGCAGCGCAGTTTTACAATCTGTTTTGAGGAGTAATTTTATAATTTCGATGAGTAATTTTTGCAGGTTTATCCCAAGGCACCTGAAGCAAGGGTTTTATTTCATTTTCTTTACTCAACTGTTTTTTTTTTTATTTTCTGAATTCACATTGTGTGTATCAGCAAAATGCATTTTGCTGTCTAGAAACATTTTCAATGGGGCGATTTCAAAGACAAATGAAAGTTTCAGTTGAAATGTAGTATTTCTGAAGGAGTTTTATGCGCTTTTTGCAAAGTTGATTGAAAATGTTTTATTGTGCTGACCTCAAAAGTCATAAACAATACGCAGGGCTCATTTCTGATAATATAAATGTTTTATACCATACTAAGGCACTTTTAAAGTGATAGATCACTCCTCATGGTTGATGAGTGCCATAACAGCATGTAATTTGATTTTCTCTCCAGAGTCCCGACACATTTTAATTCGCCTGCTATTTTGCTGTTCGAAGCTGGATGCTCTTTGCTTTAACGCAGTTCCTGCCAGTTGTGTGTGAAAATTATATTTGATCACCCAGACACTTAATTCCGGTATTAAATGATTTCATTTCAAGCTTAGGTTAGCATAGCAATTAGCAAGACTTTGACGTCTCTCCTTGTGATCCCTTCGTGAGACGGATATTTGTCAGAATCGTATCTTATTTGCTGCCAAGCAGGCCAAGTTTACCGCCTTAATAATTTAGCCGCGCTAGCTAGCATGACGAATTTTGTTGTTAGCTAGCTCGAGTGGCGTAAACATCAACGAGCTTTGCCTTGACCTCTGACTACTCGCATGTAGATTGCGTGAGTGTGTCCAGCCCAGCGAAGCTTTTTGGGACCGTCTCACAGTTCGGTTATCGGAAAAACTTAAAAGTCTGTGATTCTCGGTTTTGCTATTTACTGTGTTTTCATGGGGCTCAAGATCCAAATTTTGACCATCACCCCGCAATGTGACACCGCTTTTGAGCCTTGATCGTCCCCAGACCTGGTCCTCTCTGCTGTCCCTTGTCCGTCGTTTGTCTACTTTGGAACCTATAGCAATCAAGGTCTTTCCATTATCATCCATGCTTTTCAGTGTGCAGAAAAGAAAAATACAAACGTCAATGTTTGGCTCATTGTTAATACCTCCAGATGGCCTTCCGTTATTTGATGCTATTCTTCTCCAACGTGGCAAAAAGCAAAGCATGTGGGTGTTCGGGCTCCTGTCGGTTACGTATATTTTCAGTGTGTTGCTGTGGCCTTCGGAGGATTAGTCACGGGGCTGTGAGCGTTACCGGAGTGGAATTAGGATCCCGCTGTGTTTGCAAGCAGCACGAGCAGCACACAAATCTTTGCAAACAAAGAGAGGAGGAGTGAGAGCAGGCGGAGGATTGGGCTTCTGTGAACTACTTAAAGCAGTGGTTCTCAAAACTGGAGCTAGGAGTCATTTCCGATCAACTATTAGCGTGTATCCAATATATATTTTTTTTAAAGTTCATACCTGCATGTATTTTTTTTAAATGTACTTGTTAAAATATAACTTTATTCCCTTGTTTAACTTTAGCTGTAATCATAATATCATAGGTGGGTAGCGCAGCCAAAAATTGTACTCAAATATGAGTACTCAAGTAAAAGTAAAACAGAGTCCTTCAAATAATTACTTTCAGTAAAAATAAATAGGTATTCAGTGAGGAAAAAAGCTACTCAAATGCTACATAACAACTAGTAGGGAACTGATTTATTTGTTAAACAGAGCATCAGTTTGAAATTGTCATGTCCTGTGTTTGTTGAAGCTGGAGTGGAGGGCGTTTCCCTCCAGCAGGCTCACCTGTTCACCCTGTTCCCAATCATAGCCGTGCCCAGTATTTAAGGGCTGCTAAATTGCATACTCTCTCTCAGATTATTGACCTTGTCCGCTGTACTGCTGTCAGTGTGACCTTCTTGCTCGTGTTCCTAGTCGCTCTTGTCCGTATTGATTCTGGTTTTGTAAGTACAGTGTATTTTTGTTGTTGAGATTTTTGCTGATTTTGGTTACCTGTGTTTGGACTCTTGCTATTTTGTTGTGTGTATTTTCGGGTTTTCCTATTACTGTGCCCTTTTGCAAGCGCTTTTTGTTCAAGTTTGGTTTTCCTGGCTTTTTGTCGCGAGTGATTTGTGTGTATTACTTTGTCGGACCTTCGTTTTTGCTTTAACATTTTTATTTGTGTCTACGTTTGTGGAATCCCGTCACCGTGTCAGAAATAGACGAAGATGTTAAATTGGAATCTGCAAATTCATATAAATGGTCCTAAATTCAATGAAATGTGGAGTTTCGATGGGAAGTTTTATCCATTCATCCTGATCTAGTTCAAATATTTCATTTGCTTGACGTTGAAGCTACTACTCGACAACAGTTAAGCTGTCGGAGAAAATGACCCTGCCTAATTAATTGGAATGTAACTTACATTCTTCTTGGAAGGCTTTCGAAAAGGATTTGTTGTGAGTGTGAGATTTTTTTTTTTTTTTTTGACTCTGCTTCATGGGAAATGATGGAACCCTGTTGGAATTTTTCCAGAAAAGATCTGAGGACCTTACCTCAACCAGTCCTACAAAATGTTCAGCCAAGGAGACTTGTTTTCTTCTAAGTTAGAACGACGGGGGATCTTTCTTCCTGCAAACAGGCCTTTAATTTAGGGACTTTGTTGTCTCGACATATTCCCATGAAATTCGTAGTTACTGAGATGTACCTTCATTTCAGTGAATGGAACTCACACAGGCCATATTTCCGCCTCCAAGGTAGTCTTTATGCACTAGAATTCATAGCACAATACATTTACAGTAAGTATGTCAAATGCAAAAAAAATAAATAAATAGCGGAGAAAAGTACTTCCTACTAAATTCTTAATGCAATTCTGTCATGGTTCTGTTTGAGAGGTTTATGTGCCTGTGAAGAAAAAAAAAAAGAACAGAATTGATTGCTTTCATCGCACAAACGCTCACCTTTCAGGTGAATTCATTACGCCTTGATCTTCTATGCAGGTGTCCTAAAAACATGACGCGCTTTGATCACAGGCACCCAAAATGCCCCGGTGAAACTGACAACGGTTTGAGATGGAATTGGCGTAAGTAAGCAATTGTTTGATTTTTTTTTTTTTTTTTGCATCGACTATGGGACAACAAGCCAAGCATTGGCTTCATGAAATATTTAGTCGGGTAAGACAACAAAGCCCCAAATGTCCACTATTGAATTTAATTGTATTCAGGCCAGTTGGTGGTGCTCCACTTCCTACTTTCCGAAACTTGTACGATAAATCCATTTTTGCCATTTACTCGCGGACTTGGAATAGATGGTGTGAAATCTGCCCAGGAATCACCTTGCCCATTATCACCTGTGACAATATCACTGGGCCAATCGCCAATGCAGTTTCGACTCAACTTAATTTAGAGGGCACTTAAAAAACAAAAACAAAAAAAACAAAAACAAAAAAAAAAGATATATATATATATTTTTTTTTCCTTTTCTCCAATGCATTTCATTGGTGTCAATTATACATGGATTTTTGCGATTTGCCGGCTGGCCAATCCTTACTTCCCGCGATTAACGGGGTTCCATTGCATAAATTTAAGTTGTAATAAACTTTCAGTTTGTATCTCGCTGTCTATTGCTTGTCCAGAACATGCATTATTTTCTTGTTCTTTTTGTATTTCAATTTCCTTTGGGGATGGGGGAAAAAAAAAAAAAACTCTCCTTCCGTCATTGTGCAAAATAGTTCACAAATTATAATTCAGAACAGTCTCTTTAATTGTTTATCTTTCTTTTATTTGCCATGAAGCTCCCAAGGACATACACCGCGAGCGTTTTCTGATCAACACGTCGGCGGGCTTTGGCTGGATGACGCTGCCGGCGGGGTTAGCCTCGTTTTCCTTTCCTTGATCGGATTCCCAACGCGTCGTCGGGAAGGTGAAGATCACTAAACAAGTCTAGTTTATTGATGTGTTCTAGTACTACCTGGCGACAACCATGACTTTGAATAATATATCGCCCTATATAGCAAGTGATTGATCTTGACTTGATGTGCTGTGAGGCGGCTAACAAACTCCCCCCCCCCCCACACGCACATCCACACAAACCTCTAATTAAATAATACCGTAACTTGTTGCTAGGCAGGATTCCAGGTCAAACTGTGCTTAAGTACAAATGTACTGTATTAATGTACTGTATTTAAAAAAAAAAGAAGATGAAACCACTGTAACGTCATATACAGTTTGACTCCAGTGCCACTAGAGGGAGCTCACGTACCACACTTTGCGAATCACTCATATGGATTATCTATGAAATTAATTTTATATATTAAATAGAAGTCGATAATTTTCATGGGTAAAGCACCGAATAGAATCATGAAATCAGTGTCGTGGTGACCCATTGGCTGTTGTTGACACACTCTTTACCAACAATTGCTGATCTATGGTTCTATTCAGCACGTCACAAGCAGAGGCTACAATTACCCTTTTTATGGACATACAATTAAAAAATAAAATACAATGCAAATGACGTGCTGAGGACGAACCTGTTTCGTCTTTTTTACTTTCATTTTACAGCACGGCAGTCCTTTGACTGTTCTGTTTTGGGGCTTTTGGGCCTTAGCAGACGTTTGCGCCGGACGGTGTATTTATCCTTCTTTACCCGCTTGGTAGAAAAGGGTTATCGGTCAAAACAAAAACGAGGCGATCTGTCCTCGCTTGAAATGTTACTCACCCGAAATGTTATCATTGGCGCTTTCCGGCCCTGTCTGTCTTTTTGAAGATAAACGTACCTTAAAAGGAACCGAGTATACGTATCAGTCCACATCAGATGGCTCATTTGCATCCCTGGCCTGTCAATAACAGATGTGGGGGTGGGGTGGGGGTGAAATTCATCATCATCGCATCTCTGCTCTTTGTTCTTTGGGTAAATGTGGCGGGCAAGCTTCAAAGGCATTTTAATGGGACGGCTGCGTGAAGATGCCAGGAGGCCAGTTGCACATGTGGGCTACACTTCACTACTTTCCTGAATCGTGCTGTTCAAGATGGAATCATTGCCCGGATTTCTCTCCTGTGGAATCACTGACCTTGACCTGGGTGGAATCGGTAGCATGCAAACAGCATGGGGAGTGCCTCAAATTATCTGCAGCTCCGTGACCTTCTTGCTCGTGTTCCTAGTCGCTCTTGTCCGTATTGATTCTGGTTTTGTAAGTACAGTGTATTTTTGTTGTTGAGATTTTTGCTGATTTTGGTTACCTGTGTTTGGACTCTTGCTATTTTGTTGTGTGTATTTTCGGGTTTTCCTATTACTGTGCCCTTTTGCAAGCGCTTTTTGTTCAAGTTTGGTTTTCCTGGCTTTTTGTCGCGAGTGATTTGTGTGTATTACTTTGTCGGACCTTCGTTTTTGCTTTAACATTTTTATTTGTGTCTACGTTTGTGGAATCCCGTCACCGTGTCAGAAATAGACGAAGATGTTAAATTGGAATCTGCAAATTCATATAAATGGTCCTAAATTCAATGAAATGTGGAGTTTCGATGGGAAGTTTTATCCATTCATCCTGATCTAGTTCAAATATTTCATTTGCTTGACGTTGAAGCTACTACTCGACAACAGTTAAGCTGTCGGAGAAAATGACCCTGCCTAATTAATTGGAATGTAACTTACATTCTTCTTGGAAGGCTTTCGAAAAGGATTTGTTGTGAGTGTGAGATTTTTTTTTTTTTTTTTGACTCTGCTTCATGGGAAATGATGGAACCCTGTTGGAATTTTTCCAGAAAAGATCTGAGGACCTTACCTCAACCAGTCCTACAAAATGTTCAGCCAAGGAGACTTGTTTTCTTCTAAGTTAGAACGACGGGGGATCTTTCTTCCTGCAAACAGGCCTTTAATTTAGGGACTTTGTTGTCTCGACATATTCCCATGAAATTCGTAGTTACTGAGATGTACCTTCATTTCAGTGAATGGAACTCACACAGGCCATATTTCCGCCTCCAAGGTAGTCTTTATGCACTAGAATTCATAGCACAATACATTTACAGTAAGTATGTCAAATGCAAAAAAAATAAATAAATAGCGGAGAAAAGTACTTCCTACTAAATTCTTAATGCAATTCTGTCATGGTTCTGTTTGAGAGGTTTATGTGCCTGTGAAGAAAAAAAAAAAGAACAGAATTGATTGCTTTCATCGCACAAACGCTCACCTTTCAGGTGAATTCATTACGCCTTGATCTTCTATGCAGGTGTCCTAAAAACATGACGCGCTTTGATCACAGGCACCCAAAATGCCCCGGTGAAACTGACAACGGTTTGAGATGGAATTGGCGTAAGTAAGCAATTGTTTGATTTTTTTTTTTTTTTTGCATCGACTATGGGACAACAAGCCAAGCATTGGCTTCATGAAATATTTAGTCGGGTAAGACAACAAAGCCCCAAATGTCCACTATTGAATTTAATTGTATTCAGGCCAGTTGGTGGTGCTCCACTTCCTACTTTCCGAAACTTGTACGATAAATCCATTTTTGCCATTTACTCGCGGACTTGGAATAGATGGTGTGAAATCTGCCCAGGAATCACCTTGCCCATTATCACCTGTGACAATATCACTGGGCCAATCGCCAATGCAGTTTCGACTCAACTTAATTTAGAGGGCACTTAAAAAACAAAAACAAAAAAAACAAAAACAAAAAAAAAAGATATATATATATATTTTTTTTTCCTTTTCTCCAATGCATTTCATTGGTGTCAATTATACATGGATTTTTGCGATTTGCCGGCTGGCCAATCCTTACTTCCCGCGATTAACGGGGTTCCATTGCATAAATTTAAGTTGTAATAAACTTTCAGTTTGTATCTCGCTGTCTATTGCTTGTCCAGAACATGCATTATTTTCTTGTTCTTTTTGTATTTCAATTTCCTTTGGGGATGGGGGAAAAAAAAAAAAACTCTCCTTCCGTCATTGTGCAAAATAGTTCACAAATTATAATTCAGAACAGTCTCTTTAATTGTTTATCTTTCTTTTATTTGCCATGAAGCTCCCAAGGACATACACCGCGAGCGTTTTCTGATCAACACGTCGGCGGGCTTTGGCTGGATGACGCTGCCGGCGGGGTTAGCCTCGTTTTCCTTTCCTTGATCGGATTCCCAACGCGTCGTCGGGAAGGTGAAGATCACTAAACAAGTCTAGTTTATTGATGTGTTCTAGTACTACCTGGCGACAACCATGACTTTGAATAATATATCGCCCTATATAGCAAGTGATTGATCTTGACTTGATGTGCTGTGAGGCGGCTAACAAACTCCCCCCCCCCCCACCAAACAAGTCTAGTTTATTGATGTGTTCTAGTACTACCTGGCGACAACCATGACTTTGAATAATATATCGCCCTATATAGCAAGTGATTGATCTTGACTTGATGTGCTGTGAGGCGGCTAACAAACCCCCCCCCCCCCACACGCACATCCACACAAACCTCTAATTAAATAATACCGTAACTTGTTGCTAGGCAGGATTCCAGGTCAAACTGTGCTTAAGTACAAATGTACTGTATTAATGTACTGTATTTAAAAAAAAAAGAAGATGAAACCACTGTAACGTCATATACAGTTTGACTCCAGTGCCACTAGAGGGAGCTCACGTACCACACTTTGCGAATCACTCATATGGATTATCTATGAAATTAATTTTATATATTAAATAGAAGTCGATAATTTTCATGGGTAAAGCACCGAATAGAATCATGAAATCAGTGTCGTGGTGACCCATTGGCTGTTGTTGACACACTCTTTACCAACAATTGCTGATCTATGGTTCTATTCAGCACGTCACAAGCAGAGGCTACAATTACCCTTTTTATGGACATACAATTAAAAAATAAAATACAATGCAAATGACGTGCTGAGGACGAACCTGTTTCGTCTTTTTTACTTTCATTTTACAGCACGGCAGTCCTTTGACTGTTCTGTTTTGGGGCTTTTGGGCCTTAGCAGACGTTTGCGCCGGACGGTGTATTTATCCTTCTTTACCCGCTTGGTAGAAAAGGGTTATCGGTCAAAACAAAAACGAGGCGATCTGTCCTCGCTTGAAATGTTACTCACCCGAAATGTTATCATTGGCGCTTTCCGGCCCTGTCTGTCTTTTTGAAGATAAACGTACCTTAAAAGGAACCGAGTATACGTATCAGTCCACATCAGATGGCTCATTTGCATCCTTGGCCTGTCAATAACAGATGTGGGGGTGGGGTGGGGTGGGGGTGAAATTCATCATCATCGCATCTCTGCTCTTTGTTCTTTGGGTAAATGTGGCGGGCAAGCTTCAAAGGCATTTTAATGGGACGGCTGCGTGAAGATGCCAGGAGGCCAGTTGCACATGTGGGCTACACTTCACTACTTTCCTGAATCGTGCTGTTCAAGATGGAATCATTGCCCGGATTTCTCTCCTGTGGAATCACTGACCTTGACCTGGGTGGAATCGGTAGCATGCAAACAGCATGGGGAGTGCCTCAAATTATCTGCAGCTCCTGCAGTAAAAAAATGAAGCTTGAGCTATTGCTCAAGGCTTGCGTAGATTGAATTGTACGGCGCAAAAGGTGGACTCTTTTTTTTTTGGTCAGTGAAACGAATCACCCGATTCTGCGCTGTGGGTCTCCCAAGTCAAGTCTGTAAATCATCTGAGTCCATTAACTCAAGTTAGTGAGATGAATTATCTGAGTCTCTTAACTCGACTCTCTCAACCAAATTGCCTTTAAGCTGCTGCATTTCTGTTGCGGCCGCAAAGAGTCTGCAGCGTTTCAGTACTTTGCAGACGCAAGTTGGAAGACGCATAGGCCCTGGAACTTGTCATTCCCGATTCAGGAGAAAAATTCAAATCTGCATTGAAGGAGTTTGGATATAGATCAGAAATCAAATTGTATGGGAAGTCAAAAGTCTCACATTGTTTGGCTGTTTTGGTCACTTTTTGCCCCATATCAAGGTCTGATTAGCTGTCAGCCATAAAAAAATGGTGTAGATAAGTGAGTGACTGTCCCTGGAGGGGTGTAACAAAGAAAAAATGTAACATCTAGCAAGGTACATTTCAGAAGGTGTGTTGAAGCTGGGCAGCATTCACTGTGACTACTTACCACAGCTCCGCACTTTCACGACTTCACCTTTTACAAGTGGTTGGTTTTTTGGTTTTTTTTTTTGCTA